GATGAGAGTAAGGGTTATTTTTCTTGGTGTTGCTGAAAGGCATGGGTGATCAGTAATTTGTTACATAATTGGACAGTTCATCAGATGGTTTTAATGTTATCACGTGCCCCTGCTTTAGTTCTCTTTAGCCAAAGAGTTTTTACATTTTCTACAAGTGGTCTCACATAATGCACTTTCTGGCAAACACTTTGATCTCAGCATCCGGTTTAAGTCCAACACTTTGAGAGATGGCACAAGAGTTGTTACCGCTAACCTTGCGTTCTTTGTGCTACCGTTTTTGCCTACACTTGAGTGATTATATAAATGTTGAATAGGCACTGCTGTGGCCCCATCATCTCATCCCATAGCAGTGAGGTCATGGAGGCTATTTGCTCTTTGTGTACGACCTCATTGACTAGCTGAGGTTGTCAACTTTTGCCAGAAAGAAGTTGTATTTATATCGTTTCTTCATAAAGAGGAAAATGAGACTAATGCTGAGAGGGAAGCAAAACTAAATCAGACACCTTACACGTTACACATGCATTTGCCCTTTTACCCATTCTTGATTCATTTATTTTATTAATTTCTTTTGGTGGGGGGGTCATGAATTGAAAATTCCTCATTTTTGTTCCGGCACTTATAACACACTGCACTTCTACTTTTCAGATTAAAAATGTTTGTTTACACCTGTAAATGTCAACATTTTGATATCTGTTGAGGTCTGTAATGTAATGGAAGAATGAAAAATTTTCAAATTAAAATTTTGCCTCAACATTGATGTTGTTTTGTTTTTTGTTCTTTACATAGATGAACTAATTCTCATGGATGAGAATGTTCATGTCATGGATCATTTACTACTACTACTACTATAGTTGTCATATATGAAGATATAATAATTTCCACATCTTGGGTAATATACATTATTTAGAAATGGAAAAATAAGAACCTGGGTTTTTAAATACTGAGGTGAATAATTATACTATTTTCAAAGTAAATGCTTAGTGAATTCTTATAGATGAGTTTTTTTT